TTCCCACCATTTTATGGATTTAGTTCATGTTTTATGAATTAAGCAGCTACTAAACATACTTTCTCTCTAGAATGTTTTTTAAATAACCCCTTATACGTGACATTTCTCCTTTTTGTCTTTAAAATTAGTCAAGAAACCTAGTTCTATATAGAACCTCAACTTTTTTTCTAAGAGTGAACTAAAAAAAATCTATATAGACTTTTTTTTTAAAGTAATAAAAATGACAAAAACTTAAAAAAAAAAAAAAAAACGTGAAATATACAAACGAAAACTAATTTAAAAAATGTATAATAGTATCTCAATGATACAAGGAACCTTGTCCTGAAAGCCCCTTAATGCAGTTTTCATAGACAGAAACTCTTTCTCAACCGTTTTCTTCCCTTTTCTCCAGCAGCTTTGGCTGACGTGTGTAAACACACACACACACACACACACACACACACACACACTGAGTCTGGTCCCCTTATCAGTGTTCTCCGGTCCTCCCACAGTGCACACAGCAGGGTGCGGCCTACGCCTCAGACTCACTGGCCTCTGCCGTTATTAGCTTTTCACAAAATCTTTCACTTTGTCGACAGGACGTTCGACACTCATGACGCTTGTGTTTAGACACACAGATGAATAATCGCGATGCTAACATTGAGCAACACTTCTCCACCTTCATACACGATGGCATCACACACCACTGACTCACTGTGTCTCAGAACGAAAGATGGCGCCTCGGTGTGCTCATTTATCTCCTTCCTTAAATGAACATATAGGTCTGTGACATTACTAATACATAATGTGTTTGGTAATGGCCATCTGAGAATCCTGGGAAAACCAATTATTTGTACAGCGATTACAAAACCGCCTTCTTGAACTAACAGAAGATCTTGTTAAGTGGGCGTAAAATGTAGCCGTTTTAAATGGATAACTGATTTTTACAGTGGTTTATCTCTTCAAACCGGTTATAAGGAGGCAAAAAAATTAAACTTGGATCAGTGTACACTCAGTAAATCAGGGTTTACAGTGTTTAAGCTCATTTTAACGTGCACACATACACACAAGTCATATGATGTGTTGTAATAAACATAGCAGGAAGAGGTTCACACATAGATAAAGACAGAAGCACGTATCTTTTAGATACCAATACTAGTGTGCTGCCTACCTAGACTGCATTTTAATGCATCACAGACCAGTGCTATTTTTGTATTATTTTTTTATGTGTATATATATATATATATATATATATGAAACAGAAGTTGCAATAGTCTTTTCTTCCCTAGTGTGACGTATATCCAAGTGAAACAGCTTCTCAAACAAGAACAAATGTAGGGCGGGACTTGATTTTGTCCATAGGGAATTGATTGGATGTTTGTGGTTTGCTATTGGTGGATCTCATGTGAGTGACAGGTTGCCCCGCCCTCACGCCAGTAAACACATCATCAGAGAAGAGAAGAGATGAGCTGGAAGAGGGAGGGGAAGTTACTTTAATTAAAGATCACGAGGCACATGAATTAAAAAAATAATTATAATGATGTGCGCGGATTAATCATTTATGATATATACTGCAATATTCCATAAAATAAGAATTAAGGGAAACACTTTATTTTGATGGTCCCTTTTGAACACTCTGTTGACTATAAGTAACTTTGCAACTACATGTCAACTAACTCTCATTAGAGTATTAGTAGACTGTCTGCTCACTCTTTATTTTGATGCTCCCCAACAGACAATATGCTAACTATAACTTTGCAACCACATGTCAACTTATTTTAACCCTACCAGTCTACTAATACTCTACTAACCCTCTAATGAGGGTTAGCACACATGTAGGTGCATTGTTACTTATAGTCAACAGAATGTGTTAAAGGGACCATCAAAAAAAGTGAAACCGAATTAAGAATTTGTACTTTTTTATTTCATGGTGACTTTAAACTAAATGATAATTAGAAATGTTGCTTTGGCAACTAGCTGATAAAAAGTTTACATTTTTATATTTCATTTTATTTCAGTTAATATTTATTTTATTTCGAATAACGGTTCAAGTTATGGTTTTAGTTTTAGTCTTAGTTAACTATAAATAACCCTGTCACAGACAGTTGCAAAAGTTAAGCTGTCTTCCACAAAAAAACATTATTTTGCCTAAATTCTAATGCAGTTTTTAATACCCATAATTTATTGTGATGAGCTCAGATAAAAATAAAGGCAAGATGGCGGTGGAGCATAGGAAATGTTGATACACTCATAATTTCTCTGATACTGAAATGCATTGATAAGCAGATAATTTCAATTAAAACTGTCTATTTTACCAAATATCTCTTTGTGTAATTTTCTTAGCAACATCCTGACATCAAACTCTGTTGAAATAAATCACTAGTTCCAGATCAGTCACTAATATGAGGCTCTATTTCAGTGAGGACGCTCAGTAATAGACGGACAGTAAGCAGATCACTAGAAACAAACTGTGAAGGAGTCAACTGTGCCAGGATTCAATTTAATAATAGATAGAAATTTTGTCAGAATTTGGAGTGGTAAATATCTACATTATTTTAACTAACGGATCAAAATAAAGTCATATTTATCGCAACACGTGTCAGAAGCATTAGGCGTGTATTACTGTTGTCCAGTAGGGGGCAACAATGGATTAAATTTAAAAGAGTGAAAAATACTTTTTCATAAAATAAAAGCTAATCAATTAAATGCATTCTTTTAGGGGTAGGGTTTGGATATGGGTTAATCTGTTGTCATTATAATTACTCTATATAAAAACAAAAGAAGTCAACAGTATGTCACTACTGAGATAAGTAAAGTGATTTAGATAAGTTAGGTAAGATAGGTACACGTGTGTGTTTTCTAAGGAAAAAGTAGAGTGGAAAACTAAACCAGTTCAGATTAGCGTTTAATTTTTTTCCAGCTGTATTTCCTGAACATGCTCATATTTGTTTTTGTCACATGATCCATATTCGTCTATAATCTGCTCATGTCATGATATGAGAACGTTTGAACAGTCAAACACGATGACCACATTTGCATCTCGTCCAACAGTGTTAGACAACGGCCCTTTGAAAGCTGAAGACAAAACTAATGAGCATGACTTCATTTCCTCCTTTTGGTCTGTTTAAGAAATATGAACAGTTGCACAGACTGCAGTTCATTGACAAAACAAAAGACTCTGATCTTATACACACATTTATTTACCGTTATATTTGTACATATATTTATTTACCGGTAATATGGATTATTCAAGTTGCGTTGGAACATTATATATATATATATTGTGAAAAGTGTTATACAACTAAGTTTGAATTGAAATGGATCAAATTGGATTTGGAGGCCAAATATAATTTAGCAAAAACAACAAATCCAGACCATTAAAAAGCCCATGCAACAAAAAATTTAAATGAAATGTGAACATTTCTAAGAGTCTCGCTCCGTCTGAGCTTTATACCTGTGCCAATCTGACTGTGTGTGACACATTTACACAAATATTCCCAGAAGAGATTAGTTTATCACTTGGTAAACTATTAGCCATAATGCACTTCTGATAAGGCCGCAAACATCTATTATTGACTGTTCAACTACACGCTCCTTCAGATCTCCAGATGTTGTAGAACATCAAAGATCAAACAGAAGAATTATGCTGGTATTTTGATCTCTCAGCTGTAACCACAGGCCTTCAGCATTACTGATTCATAAACTGATCTGTATATATAGATCAGATGTGACTGTAGGTCATAATAAGCAGAACTATTACAACACAATCTAAGCTAGCACACCTAAAATGCTGTTGATGCAGAACGGGGCAGGTTTTTTTCTTTCTGCGGTCTTAAACTGGTGCATTGAATGGTATCAGGTGATTATACTGTAGCAGTTTTGATCATGGTACTGTATGATTTCCATATTCATATGCCATGGCTTTTAGGTGGTACTTCAACATACTTTAAAGAATAACATGGTTTTATATGTTCAAAAACACAGTATTACCACGATGCATGTCTAAAAAATGCTGTACTACAGTGATATATTTCCAAAAAGCATGAGATCTCAGGGAACATGTCTAAACAAATAAAATAAAATAAAAACATGGTCTTACCATGATGCATGTCCAAAAAGCATGGTATTGTCTATTAGCCTACCAGTCATGTTGGCCAAAAGCACTGTACTATGGTGCATTACATAAAAGCATCATATGTACATGGTATTACCATTATGCATGCCTAAAAACATGGTATTACCAATGGCATTGTCCAAAAAAAATTTGCTGTTGTCTAAAAAACACTGTATTATATGGCTTGTTTCATAAAAGCATCAAATTACATATTATCATGATGTCTAAAAACATGGTAGCACTTTATTTTACAGTACTGTTACCCAACATACTATGTTCTTATAGTTATTACAATAACTGGGTAATAATAACTATGTACTAACCCTGAAAAAAACCCTAAACCTAACCTTAACCAATGTAGTTATCTTATATTAACAAGTAGTACTGTAAGTACACTGTGAGTACAAGTAAGTGCATGTACTTTAAAATAAAGTGCAACCAAAAGCATGGTATTACTAATGGTATTGTCCAAAAACACTGTAGACTATTGTTTTTTTGTTGTTGTTTTTCAATAAAAGCATCAAATATCATGGTATTTCCAAGATGATTGTCTAGACAACGGTATTACCAATAGTATTGTAAAGAAACATTGTACTGGTATATTTCTTAAAAGCATAACATTTCAAGGCAGAACCATTATATATGTCTGGAAAACATGGTATTACCAATGGTATTAAAACACAGTACTGTATATTTCATAAAAGCATCAAGTTTTATCATACATGTCTTAAAAAAAAAAAAAAAAAAAAAAAAAAAAAAAAACTCCAAGGTGGAACTACGATGCATGTCCAAAAACATAGCATTACTATGGTATTTTTTTGATCGTGTAGAGGAAGTGAAAGAGTGTGATGTGAGCCAGTATGAGCACTGGAGGGTTTAGGGGTCAGGAGAGGTGCTGATCTCTCACCAGTGTTCCCGGGACCCGCGGCTCGTCTCATCCAGTCCTGCGGCTCTTCTCTCTCCAGCAGCGCCTGATCCACCGGCGGAATGATGTTGACCTCCACGCCGTTAACCGGCAGCGAGTGACCCGTCCCGTGGCCATAGAGCGGCGGCCACTCTTCACGCGAACCCGGGCCGAAGCCGGGACTCCACGAGCTGCCGGTGTGATGCAGGTCATTCCCGAGGGCAGGACCAGGGTGGTACCCGCTGTAGTCCGGGTATGGGGCAGACGGGTAGTTCAGGTGAGGCTGGTGGCCGAGGTTCAGGTGTCTCGCGGGGTTGCCGTACATGGCCGTGTCCAGCAGGAAGCTCACGGACATTTTCCTCGCGAGCTGAAAGTTTTACTTTAACTGAACTTCACCTTGCCTGAGCGCTCGCGAGCGCGCGTTTGTTTGCCCAGCGCTGACGTCACGCCGGGACACCCACCTGAGCTGATTTATGACACGCGCACAGGTGCCGCCGACTGGCCGGAAGTCCTATCACCCTGAATCATGATCAACAGAGAGCTGAACTTAGATAGTTGAAGAACCGAATGCCGCGATGGACGCTTTATCTCCGACGCCACATCTCCGCTGGCGACGCGACAAACGCTTCATTATCTAATAGGCGCGCGCTCGAGTGCCTGGCAGGTTAAGAGCATTTACATTTTACAAAGGCTAAAGGTCAAACTTTTACCTGAACCGGCCAGGATGCTTAATTTGATGATGTCCGTGATGAAGATAACAGGCATACCTGGGCAAAAAATGTGATGAAGGTCATTATGATGATGATTATAATTATAAAATATCAGAGCATGTTTAAAACGATGATGATAGGCTATAGCCTTTCAGGGAAGATTTTGATTAAGATCACCATGAGAAATGATTTAAAGTGAGGATGATGATTTGAGTGAAGTGATTACGATGATGTTTGGGATGATGAAGGCCGTGATGATGATGATGATGTGGCGCTGGAATCTCACGGCAGGGTTTAGGGGAGTCAGAGAGGCGCTCGTGACTCTACATCAGAAAGCGCTCGTGCATTTCAAAGGGTCTCGCGCGGCGCACATCAAAGAGCCGCAATAAAAGCGACAAATGAGCGACACTGTAAATCAAGGCCTCTGTATTGAAATGACGAGAGCAGGCGGGCTTCTGCTTCCTCTGACAGACGTGAGAAGCGAGAGGACATGTTCTGAGGCCTGGAGACACTGATGCTGCGAGTAATGCCACTTTACATTCACACTTACACGGCCTTTATTGTCATTCAGCACGTAGGCCTACAGCTCATTATTTTACAATAGCCTAGATATTTGATCATGATAAATTAGAATTTTATATTATTGCATTGTTGGTTATATTGCTATTTACAATATTGCATTGATTATATACATTTATTATATTTGGGGGGAAAAAACATTTTTAAATATAGAATAATTTCTCTGCTATAAGACCAAAAAGTTCTATTTTGCTGTTCGGTTTTTCTTGTCACACTAAATATAAAGCGTAGAGATTATTAAATAATTTGCACATAGATATTTATTGTATTCTTAGAAGGCTGTTAAAGGGTTAGTTCACCCAAAAAATGAAAATGATGTCATTAATGACTCGCCCTCATGTCGTCCCAAGCCCGTAAGACCTCCGTTCATCTTCAGAACACAGTTTAAGATATTTTAGATTTAGTCCGAGAGTTTTCTGTCCCTCCATTGAAAATGTATGTACGGTATACTGTCCTTGTCCAGAAAGGAAATAAAGATATCATCAAAGTAGTCCATGTGACATCAGTGGGTTAGTTAGAATGTTTTGAAGCATCGAAAATACATTTTGGTCCAAAAATAACAAAAACTAGGACTTTATTCAGCATTGTATTGTCTTCCGGTTCTGTTGTGGATCCGCGTTCAGTGCCGCCGCTGACGTAAGACGCTGCTGACGTGTGTCTGGTGTGTGTGTGTGTGTGTATTCTGGTTCTGTTGTGGATCCGCGTTCAGTGCCGCTGCTGACGTAAGACGCTGCTGACGTGTGTCTGGTGTGTGTCTGGTGTGTGTGTGTGTGTGTGTGTGTGTGTATTCTGGTTCTGTTGTGGATCCGCGTTCAGTGCCGCTGCTGACGTAAGACGCTGCTGACGTGTGTCTGGTGTGTGTGTGTGTGTGTGTGTGTGTGTATTCTGGTTCTGTTGTGGATCCGCGTTCAGTGCCGCCGCTGACGTAAGACGCTGCTGACGTGTGTCTGGTGTGTGTGTGTGTGTGTGTGTGTGTGTGTGTGTGTATTCCGGTTCTGTTGTGGATCCGCGTTCAGTGCCGCCGCTGACGTAAGACGCTGCTGACGTGTGTCTGGTGTGTGTGTGTGTGTGTGTGTGTGTGTGTATTCCGGTTCTGTTGTGGATCCGCGTTCAGTGCCGCCGCTGACGTAAGACGCTGCTGACGTGTGTCTGGTGTGTCTGGTGTGTGTGTGTGTGTGTATTCTGGTTCTGTTGTGGATCCGCGTTCAGTGCCGCTGCTGACGTAAGACGCTGCTGACGTGTGTCTGGTGTGTCTGGTGTGTGTGTGTGTGTGTATTCTGGTTCTGTTGTGGATCCGCGTTCAGTGCCGCTGCTGACGTAAGACGCTGCTGACGTGTGTCTGGTGTGTGTGTGTGTGTGTGTGTGTATTCGGGTTCTGTTGTGGATCCGCGTTCAGTGCCGCTGCTGACGTAAGACGCTGCTGACGTGTGTCTGGTGCGCCCGAGCTTCGTTTACAGTCTGAGGGAGACGCACGCTGGAAACAAAACAATCTTCACAAACATGTCTAAGGATTTCCACACAGAGTAAGACTTGCATTTTTTTGCCCAGCCATATTTATTTGAACCCGAATACACGGACACACCAGACACACGTCAGCAGCGTCTTACGTCAGCGGCGGCACTGAACGCGGATCCACAACAGAACCAGAATACACACACACACACACACCAGACACACGTCAGCAGCGTCTTACGTCAGCAGCGGCACTGAACGCGGATCCACAACAGAACCAGAATACACACACACACACACACACACACACACCAGACACACACCAGACACACGTCAGCAGCGTCTTACGTCAGCAGCGGCACTGAACGCGGATCCACAACAGAACCAGAATACACACACACACACACACACACACACCAGACACACGTCAGCAGCGTCTTACGTCAGCGGCGGCACTGAACGCGGATCCACAACAGAACCGGAAGACAATACAATGCTGAATAAAGTCGTAGTTTTTGTTATTTTTGGACCAAAATGTATTTTCGATGCTTCAAAACATTCTAACTAACCCACTGATGTCACATGGACTACTTTGATGATGTCTTTATTTCCTTTCTGGACAAGGACAGTATACCGTACATACATTTTCAATGGAGGGACAGAAAACTCTCGGACTAAATCTAAAATATCTTAAACTGTGTTCCGAAGATGAACGGAGGTCTTACGGGCTTGGGACGACATGAGGGCGAGTCATTAATGACATAATTTTCATTTTTGGGTGAACTGACCCTTTAAGTGAGAAGACATTGTCACATGTTTGGCCTCAGGGGGGCAGTATACCACTGTCAGACACTCATAAGAGAATTTGTCTTCAGTTCTCATTACCATAGACACTCACTTCCCAGTCATTCTCATGACATATCACTGATCCTCCTCAGAACCCGATGATGAGCAACTTTTCTCATAGTTTTGGGATAGTTCACCCGAAAATGAAAATTCTGTCATCATTTACTCGCCCTCAAGTTGTTCCAAACCTGTATGAGTTTCTTTCTTCTGCTGAACACAAAAGAAGACATGTTGGACAGTTGACGGTAGCCATGGACTTCCATATAGGAAAAATATATACTATGGAAGTCAATGACAACCGTCTACTGTCCGGTTACTTACATTCTTCAAATTTATTTTGTGTTTAACAGAAACACGAAACTCATACAGGTTTGGAACAACTTAAGAGTGAATACATTTTCATTTTTGGGTGAACTATCTCTTTAAGGACATCTAGCCTATAAAGCTTTTAAATTTTAGTGCAAATGGTTTGAAGTCAAATCAAGTTAAGTCAAGTCACCTTTATTTCTATAGTGCTTTTTACAATACATATGGTTTTTAAAGCAGCTTTACATTGATAACAGGAAAGCTTTACATATAAGCTTTAATTTTCCTTTTAGTAACCGGATCGGATGGATGCTGTCAGCAGACCTACATTAACGGATTTCATTCTCCAGGTAAGTAAAAGGGAGATACAGGTAAGTGTAGATAAGTGTTGATAAGTACCCTATTAAAATATTGTCAATCAGCAATACCTTTAGTAACCCAGATTCACCCTGGGTTACACATATGCACAAACTTGTCTAGAATGAAATACAATAGAAGAAATGTAAACAAGAAACAATTTGTTTCACATTCATAGAAATGTTTCTATGAATTTTAAGCTGCACTGTGTCAAATGTTCTCCCAAACATGTCATTTTGTCATTCTCTCTCTCTCTCTCTCTCTCTCTCTCTCTCTCTCTCTCTCTCTCTCTCTCTCTCTCTCTCTCTCTCTCTCTCTCTCTCTCTCTCTCTCTCTCTCTCTCTCTCTCTCAGATGTACACACAGTTTCCCCCTCTTTCCCCTTTTGTCCACTTAAAATAAGCATTCTCAAGTGTATACACACACACACACACACACACAAAGTTGATCCGCAGCATTTGGGATTGACCATCTCTCCTCCTCCATTTCCTGTCTGAGATGAGAGTCTGAGCTCTGACTTCATCATGTTCCACGTTCATCCGTCATATTTGAGACGGTCCAGCCGTACATCCTCAGAAGCGAACCAAACCTTGACCTCCAAATGCAAAGAATCAAACCCGTGGAGGAACATTTGTGTCAAATAAAGAAACAAACTTTTCAGGGGTTTTTTTTCTAATTAATAATAATAATACTTAATTTAGGTATTTTTCAGTTGCATGCATGCTGTGTAAATGTATGTTTATGTAAAGTGACTTATTGGCAAATGTAAATCTTTTTACCTTGCCATTTGGTTCCGAAGAAACGTGTACATTTATTGTAATGTAGGTCAAATAGCATCAATCCCCATTCATGTTTTTTCCTAAATTGAAATGCATAATTTAGTTTATGCAACAAATGCACAGCATATCCATATGTTACCTTACCACAGGAACTCTTGTCTCATTTCCTAAACAGAAATAAACAACTCTTCAGATGTATTTACTAGAAAAGAGTAAGACCAATTCCACCCACAATAAAGTTTTCCCCAAAGTTCACCAGATGTTCTGCTTAAAATAGATAAAAAGAAGATTATAAAAGCAGGAGTGAGGTTTTATTGTTAGCTTTGCTGTTTCTGGGCCAGGTATAGAGATTTGGTTTCACACTCAGCATTTCTCCGGCGTCTGTTAGTGTCATCTAAACCACAGCTCTTTAAGCAGGACGTGTGGCGCTGCGCTTATCCTTCATATAACAGGTTATTTCCCAATTCATATTTAACTGTTTATTAATCTCAATAGGGATTATTGTCTGTTCAGATCACATTAACATCAGTGCTCATGAGATAATCTTCTGTCCGTTTTTATAGG